CACCTGCAGGGGACATGGGGGAAGGGGGACAGGGACCTGGATGAGATCTGCTACCTTGTGTAGAGCAGAGTTTGAACTTGGAGATGAGAAAGAGGAAGGAACATGTGGAGATGACAGATAGTGTGGGGAAAATGTGCTATTTCCGCCACCACAAAATGCCCACGATGATGATCATATAGCTCAGAGAGGGTCATAGGTGCCCGAGGACACAGAGGAGTGAGCCCCAAATGAAAGAGTCTGAGATGTACTGACATGTGCCAAGCAGACTCGGGGATTCTGGACATTTCCCTCTTGTGTGTGTTGTGGCAGCAGTAGCTGTAACTGCTCCTGCATCTGCTCATGTAATTGTTATTCACACTATCTTCTGTCCCCAATTGGGTCTCCTTTATCCCTACAAAAGTATCTTGGCATGATCCAATAGGCCCCAGCAAATGTTTCTGGTTCTGGAAGAGCTCTACCTCCCCATGAAGTTGAATTGAGATGCCACTGGGTTTCTTTCACCTAGGTATCAACTCTGGAAAAAGGTTTGGCTTAGCTCTTAGGACAAAGGGAATATGCCCTGTGTCTAGCACAAAGTCCTCAGGCCCTTATCAGAGAATTATATCCAGAAATATTGTGCAACCTTTGATACCCTCACCCCAGACCAAGCTAGAGTGGACCCCGATTAATTCCCTACCCTCTCCTATTTAATCTGCCCTAAGGAGTCCCCTCACTCACCCAAGGCCTACTCCTACCAGATTCCCTCCCTTACCTGTGCTTTTTTTTTTTGCCAGTCCCGGGACTTGAACTCAGGGCCTGGGCACTGTTTCTGAGCATCTTTTGTTCAAGGCTAGCACTCTACCATTTGGGCCACAGCAATGCCAATTCCAGTTTTTTCTGTTTTTCTGTTGAGGAATCCAAGCCAGGGCTTCACAGATGCTAGGGAAGCACTACCACTAAGCCACATTCCGAGCCCCTTACCTGCTCTTGATCAGGCTCTTGCTAGTGATTCTGAAACAGTGAGTCCAAAATAACAACTACAAATATCAGGAGAAGTTAGTTGTGCAAATCTTGCTATACAGAAGACCCAGGGTTTTAAATCTCCTAATTCAAGGGTCACTTTTTGCCTCTGCATGGCTCAGGTTCCTCATAACATTTCATGAAGGGCTTGAAGCAACATGTAGGTAGCTGGTCTCTAACAGGAACCTATGAGCAATGTTTACCCTTTCCTGTAACAACTATGAAGCATGAGCAGCTGGTGGCCACAGTGAGATCCAGGATCACTGTTCACATCTAGTCAAAACTTCTTGCGAGCTGGGCACTGGTAGCTCACGCCTGTAATCCTAGCTACTCAGGAGGCTGAGATCTGAGGATCATGGTTCAAAGCCAGCCCAGGCAGAAAAGTCCATGAGACTCTTATCTCCAATAAACCACTAGAAAGTTGGCAGTGGCTCTGTGGCTCAAGCAGTAGAGCGCTCACCTTGAGCTGAAGAGCTGAGGGACAACACCCAGGCTCAGAGTTCAAGCCCCACGACCAACCAAAAAAAAAAAAAAAACTCTTGCAGAGACAACATGGAAGTCAGTGGTATGTCTTTGGACTTGGAAAGATATTGGGAAATTGCTGTCTGTGGTGTCTATTTGTGGTTGCTATCTTGGTTTCAGCCATACCAGGCAACATGAAACTTAACTGATTCACAAATAGCTCCCAGACAGTGCTTAGGGGCATAGAGTTACTTTTTGTATACAAACAGGTCAGATTCATGAATTTCTGCCTGAATTTCAACCTGAAGGTGATAATAAGGGAAAGATGGCTCCAGTAGAGGTGGAATTGGTACTGATGACAAAATAGCCAGAGATTGTGGCTCTGACTGGATATCTTAAAACATCTGAAGGAGCAGGAATTTTGGGACTACCAAGTGTGAGCATACACAAAAGGGGTCTCTGTCTTAAGTTAGGGGAAATATAACCAATACATGCATTATCCACTTAAACAACTATCATGATAGTTCAAACTAAGTTGATGTGGGCCATAAGATGATTTCCAATGGCCTCTTCCCTCTTCAATCCCCAACACAAGCCAGCCAGGGTTTTCACGAAGTAATCAAAGCTGTGTGACTCTCTCCTTGAGGCCCTCTTCTTGGCATTTTTTACACCTCCAGTGTGAGTTCCTTGAGAATTGTTAGTTCCTGGTAGTTCCTAGTGAAACCTCTTAGGTTGCTGGAAAGGATGCTTATTCTTCTATCACCTAAGACCCAACCTGGAAGCTCCTAGGGCTTAATGATGCTATCAAGTCCCAAAGAACCTCAGGGATCCTGCCTGGTTACAAGTTCTGAGTCAGGTCCAGTGCATATACTAGTGCTGGAGCACAATCATGCAGGAAGAAAGTATATGAAGCCATTGAACCTGCACATCAGAGGACCTTGTCAGGCTGAGCTGTAGGTGGCATAGAGCCAACAGGAGACACAATGTGAGTGGCAGCTGAGGGGGCACACCCAACGCTCATGTGCATCTCTCCACCCACAGGCCAGGATCCAGCCAGCCCCATCAAGATCACACACACCGGGCAGGTACGGGGCAGCCTTGTCCATGTGAATGACACCAATGTGGGAGTGCACACCTTCCTAGGCATTCCCTTTGCCAAGCCACCTGTAAGACCACTGTGGTTTGCCCCTCCAGAGCCCCCTGAACCTTGGAGTGGTGTGAGGGATGCCACCTCCTACCCAGCCATGTAAGTCCTTTCGGGGTGAGAATTTCTGTGGTGGGATGGGCACCTGGTCCCAGGCTGAGTTTTTCTCCCATGTAAACCCCACACTCCATTTCCTTCTGCATTGTAGAATTTCCCATGTTGATTTTTCCAATGAATGTGGCTGTGATTCAGTTTTGCCAGGCTCATTTTTCTGGCTTTGCATATGATCAGTGCCATAACACAGAAATATACTTAAGTCAGGACTTGGATTATGCCAATTGTTCTTTGCCACAAGAGAAGGCATCCCTGGGAAACATTTGCCTTGGCTGTATGGACCTGACAAACTCATGGTCCAGCAGCAGATGCTACAGACCACAAAGGAGGACAGAAAGAGGAGAAAGCAAGCTTCATAGTCACTGTGCCAACTCAAAGGGCCAGGTGCCACTGGCTGAGGAAACATCTATGTGCTTCCAACTGGAGACATAGTAGAAGGAATATGGTCTGGATTTGAATTTCAGCAATGTCTCACTACCCTATGGGTAACTGACCTTCATTCATTCATTCTATCCTGATGTGGTGGTAGTAACCCTGGCTAGGCTTTAATTGGCACATAGAGAAGGAGTAAATGTCAACCCTTGCAGACAATGCTTCTAGGAGACTCTATGAGTCAAGATTTCCAAGCCTTAAGGAAGAGAAATCCAATGACCCCAAACAATGTGAAGGTTCCCTGGAGGTGAGAGCTTCATCCTAGCTTGAGATGGGGAGTCTCTCCCATCCCAAGCCTGAGGCTTGAACTTTGGTTGGAAGAGACATGAGAGAAGATTCTTCATAACAGGCACCAGTGCAGCACAGGTTCATAGTGGCTGGGAACAAATCTAGCTTCCAGGTCAGATTTGTGACTATGATACAAATGCTGGAATAATTTTCTATTATTATAACCAGGTGTCTGCAAGATGCTAGTACAATTAATACACTGATTACGATTATCTTGAACCTCAATATACCTCCCTTCTCCACATCTGAAGACTGCCTTTACCTCAATATCTATTCACCTGCCAGTGCCAATGAGAGCTCTGCCCTACCTGTGAGTATCAGAATTTGGCTAGCCTTGGTGGGAGGACATTTCTTCTTCAAGACTATTAGTAGTGGGAAGAAGAGCCTAAGATCTGAGGCAGTGTGGAACCTAATGAGAAGTTTCATTGCCAGGTTCCAAAAACTAGTCACCCAGGCTGGGAAGGTGGCTCAGTAGTAGAGTGCTTGCCTTGCATGCATGAGGCCCTGGGTTCGATTCCTCAGCACCACATAAACAAAAAGAAAAAAGCTGGAAGTGGCGCTGTGGCTCAAGTGGTAGAGCGCTAGCCCTGAGCTGAAGAGCTGAGGGACAGAACCCAGGCCCAGAGTTTAGGCCCCACGACCGGACCCAAAAAAAAAAAAACAAAAGCAAAAACAAAAATCTAGTCACCCGGGCAGGGTAACATAACTGGTATAGGGATGCAGAGTCCTAGGTGCTCCTAAATGTTAGATGCCTTGGCTCTTTAACCAAACAAGAACTCATTCTATCAACCTGAGCCCAGAAGACTCCCTGAGGAACCCATGTGCTGAACTTTGAGATCACCCAACTTGAGGAATATCTATTGTGCCAATGTTAGTATGTGATCCTTTTGACTCATATTAAAGTGAGACAATCAGGGAAATGCCCCTTTTCTTTCCACTTTAGATGGGTAAGAAAGTAAGGACACCAATGCTCCAGTCTTGGAGATATTAATTCATACTTGGATTCCTGGAGTTGACCTCAAGGATAGTGATTGACCTTGCCACCCTCACCCAGAAGGTTCCTGACAGTCCTTTCTATGTTGGCAAGTGCCCACAGCCAAAGCCATGGACAGTGTAACAGACAGCAGAGGTAGGACTGGGGATGGATGAGAATCTATGACAGCTGTCTTGACTATGCCAGGTAATGGTGTGGATCCATGGTGGTGGACTGGTTATGGGCATGGCTTCCTTATATGATGGATCCAGGCTGGCGGCCACTGAGAATGTGGTGGTGGTCACCATCCAGTACCGCCTGGGAGTCCTGGGCTTCTTCAGGTGAGTGTGGGATTGAGTTGGGCAATAAGAGCCAAGCAGAGCCAGGATAGTCCTATGACCCTTGTCTCTGCCACTTCTCAGCACTGGAGACCAGCATGCCACTGGAAACTGAGGCTTCCTGGACCAGGTGGCGGCCCTACTCTGGGTCCAACAGAATATCGCCCACTTTGGAGGCAACCCCAACTGTGTCACCATTTTTGGCGAGTCTGCAAGTGGCATGAGCATATCTTTACATGTCGTGTCCCCCATGTCCCAAGGACTCTTCCATGGGGCCATCATGCAGAGTGGAGTGGCCCTGGCACCTGGCTTAATCACCAGCTCCTTTGAGGAGATTGTCAAGGTGAGTGCCCTCAACCATGCAGCCCAGACCATTTCACCCTTCATCCTCACAGCCTCTGGTTCTTTTTTTCTGGTAACAACAAGGAACAAGGAGGTGCCTTTAGAATGTGTCCTTTGGAATCACTGAAGTGTTAGGGGTCAGAATCCACACCTCTCTGCCTCACAGAAGCTGTGTAGGTTCTGTGGCCAAATTCCATCATCCTTGACAGAATTATGCAAGGAAGCAGGGGAGAATGGCCCCTCTGGCTGAGGCCTCTGCGCATCAGAGAAGTGGGAACAATTTCACTCCTGCAACCCCACACTCCATACCCTGGGAGATTTAGAAGCACTGCACCCATCTGGGTCTGGGAAAACCTATCTTCCTGCCTGGAATGATGGAGCAGCCCTGCCTGGTTGCTTTCCAGATGGTGGCCAACCTGTCTGCCTGTGAGCAGGTGGACTCAGAGGCCCTGGTGCACTGCTTAAGGGGCAAGAATGAAGAGGAAATGCTGGCTATTACCAAGGTCAAGCTGCATGATGAGGGTGGGGTCCGGCAGGGGAAAAGACATAGGGTGTGAATCACTCCACCATAATACTCTGAACCAATGACTGCTCACATAGCCCTGGAAACAAAATGAAGAGTAAGGGAGGCTGACCCAAGTGTTGTATCTCTTGGGTTGTATGTGGGAGAAAATACTTGGAAGAATTGAGATGGCATGAAAGTAACATGAGGATACTGGAAAATATGTGTTAGGTGATCTCAACTCCTGATTGATACCTTCTCAGTCCTCCCCAAACACAGCTGGTGTGGTGGATGGGGTCTTCCTACCCAGGAACCCAAGGAGCTACTGGCCTCTGCTGACTTCCACCCAGTTCTGAGCATCATTGGTGTCAACAATGATGAGTTTGGCTGGCTCCTCCCCGTGGTAAGACTTAGTTATAATTCATTAGTAGTCTGGAGAGCTCATCTGTTATGTGTGTGAGTGGCAGGGGGTGCACAATGGTATAGGGCATGAAACCATCGTGACCATGTAATTCCAAACTTAAGCTGTCTCCCCACCACTCAGATCTCAGGATTTGCTGACACCATAAAGGGAATAAATAGACAGACCTTACCAACTATTATGAAGAATACAGTAGGACTCATGGTAAGAATCTGGACACTGTCCCAATGGATGGGGAACCACAATATAATGTGTTCACACAGTAGCCTCCACAATATAGGACAGGATATGTGTGTGTTTGTGGTGGGATTACACCAAAGCTTGTCCTTTTCTCCCTTATACTATGTCCCACTCCAGGTGCCATCTCCCCACCCACAGGCTGCCTCCTCCCTGCCACTGTACTGCCTGCCTAGCCTGACTCTCTCTGATCCTCTTGGCACAGAACTTGCCTGCTGAGTGTGCAAACCTGCTGATGGAAGAGTACATGGGGGACACCGAGGACCCCCAGACCCTCCAAACCCAGTTCCAAGACATGATGGGGGACTTCATGTTCGTGATACCTGCACTGCAAGTAGCACATTTGCAGCGTGAGTACATCTGTAGCTGAGGCCTGACTGCTCATAGGACAGCTTAGCGCTGTGCATCCCAGGGCAGCTCTGTGATGTCCAAGTCACCACCCTTGTCTTTTTCAAGTGCCAGGCACTTGATGTCCCATAGGTCAGTACATTCTCCTGGCTACTGTAAGAGCAGGCATCACTGGCACTTTAAGGAAGTGGAAACTTAGTGACTGGTATAAGACCACACCATAGGAAATACATGCTATGATTTAACCAAAACTTTTCTCATTGGGGTCACCAGGAAAATGGCAGTAACATACAATTCTTGACATGAAACCCCATCCTAGAAGTCAGAGAATGGATCATTGACTGTGATGAGCACCTTTGGACTTTGCAAGGCCTCCTCCTGCCTGAGGCTTCTCACTTCACAGTCCAGATTCCAGCCAGCTTCAACCTATCACCAAAGATGAAGAAAGACAACTCTAACTCAGAGGTCTCCACATCATAAGCTGTCTCCACCTCCAGGTTCCCAAGCCCCCGTCTACTTCTATGAGTTCCAACATCCTCATGGCCTGATACAGAGCCTCAGGCCTCCGCATGTGAGAGCCGACCATGGCGATGAGGTTGACTTTGTCTTCGGGTCTTCCTTTTGTGGCACCAGCCGTGAGTCTTCTTCATTTCTGTAACCTAGAATGGGCCACACTAGGATTCCTCTAGGGTGATTCTCCTTGAAGTCTACATAAGGAAACTGAAGCTCAGAGAGAGGACAAGATCAAGTGTGCAAGATCTTACCATTCAAACAGCTACAGATGTTTAGAAGGGAAGCCTTTTCCCAAGCAGTCCCAACCCTGTCCCCACCTGCTGTAAGGTGTCAGACATAGGTACAGAGTGGATGGTTGGAAGTTATGAATGTCCATAAATGCTTTCCAGGGACTGAGAGTAGAAAAATCCTCTGCTCCAGGAATATGCATAGGTGTATTCAGCTAGAGACTGGGATGAGTAATGGAAGGTTGTACGATGGAAGTGCCTGATTCTGGGTGGGGCGGAGAGAAAGGATTAGGCCTACTATGGAGGATCAGACTACAGTTGCATGGAGGGTGTAGAACAGAAGAAGGCACCCTGAAATATTGTCTAAAGTATGGACCCTTGTTCTCTGTGCAGCTGGCTTCTCTGAGGCAGAGGAGCTCCTGAGCAGGAGGATGATGAAGTACTGGGCCAACTTTGCCCGGAATGGGTAAGATAATTCACCTAACCCTGCCTCCTCAGAATGGGGTCCACCTAGTGGATGCCCTTGTGGCATCCTCACAAGCATTCATGATGCTCAAACCCCAGGACTCACACAGAGACAGGGCATTGTAGGTGCAAGTCACTCTCTCTTGCCCCAGAAACTTGAAAGATTGAGCACAGTTTTGTGGAAACATCAGCACTCTCTTCTGTAAGGTGGCTCTGAGCCACATGGAACACACACTAGGGAAAGGGCCTTGTTTTCCTATATCAGAAAAGTTTCCCTCATTCTCCCCACTCCTGATCTTTTGGGCTGCTTGGCATGACCCTAATGAGGTGATTGGGTCCAGGCTCCCAGGGACTCAGAATGACTCTCACCACTCGCCCCGACCTCCTGGGGTGTGTCCACAGGAACCCCAACAGTGAGGACCTGCTCCATTGGCCTATGTTTGACCAGAATGAGCAGTACCTACAGCTGGACATCCATCCTGCCGTGGGCCAGGCCCTGAAGGCCTCCAGGCTGAAGTTCTGGACCAAGACCCTGCCCCAGAAGATCCAGGAACTCAACGGAGCCTCACATCTGAGTGTGACACATTCGTCACTATTTTTTTCCCTCTTCTCTCTTTATTCTGTTTTATTTTATTGGTAATGAGGATGTTGTGCTTGCTCAGTAAGTGTTTTGCAACTGAGCTACATTCCAGTCCTCTTTGTTATTTTTAATCAAGTTGTTTAGGACACTTTCTAACCTAACTTTATGTAGATCCATGCTTTCATTGGAATTGGATTCTATTCTGGTTTTTGGAGAGTGTTTAATTGGAGCTAAATGTATCACTGACCTTCCTGCCTAGGGTGACTTTGAGCCAAGATCCTCAGTTCTAGGCCTCCTGAGAAGCTAGGATTATAGGTGTGAGCCACTGTCTCTGATGTTGGTTGTCTCTCTGTGTCTATGTCTATGTTTGTGTTTGCCTCTCTATATGTGTCTGCTTCTCTTTCTTTCTTTCTTTTCTTTTTTCTTTTTTGTCATCATGGGGCCTGAACTCTGGGCCTGGGTGCTGTCCCTCAGCTCTTCAGCTCAAGGTTAGCACTCTACCACTTGAGCCACAGCGCCACTTCCAGCTTTTTCTGCTTATTTGGTGCTAAAGAATTGAACCCAGGGCCTCGTGCATGCAAGGCAAGCACTCTACCACTGAGCCACCTTCCCAGCCCCTCTCTTTCATTTTTTATCTCTCTCATTCTCTCTCATTTTCTTTCTGTCCTGTCTGTCTCCTTGTCTTTGTCCAGATCATTAGATATATGTAAGTTTTCATCAATGTCCTCAAACAACAGAATGCTTCTAAAAAAAACCTTTTATTCCATGGTTTTACTATTAGCATGGTTATTGTGTATGCCAGGGTCTCTGAATGATGGTGCAGGAAGTGACAGGCCACATGGGAGTCTTCTGCCTTTCAGTGGTACACCACACCAGGATATTAAGAAGAAGCATTGTGAATTTCAGTTAAAATAAAGGTACTTGTTCCTGGAATCTGAATGTTAAGAACCTAGACTCTCAGCAACCCAGCCCAGGAGCTACTTAGGTTAAAAAATGAAGGTCAGAGAGCGCTGTTGAATCTGTGTAGCCAAAAATTCTTATTCTAAAGTTCCAGACCAGCGCCTGGTTTACACACACTCCAGCCTCACTTTCTCCCTTGGTGCAGATTTTACCAATTTAGCTGATACCAGACCAGGACCTTGACCTAACACTCCTGTGTCATTCCCTCCCTTCTTCAGCTGTGCCCCAGTTTGCATGATATCTATTTCTCACTATTAGTTACTGTCTGATCAACCTCCACCAGAATGCATGGGTTGAGCCTTGAGCTGGTGGCCTGTACCTAACTCTCAAGAGACTGAGATCTGAGAATTGCAGTTGAAGCTAGCCTGGGTAGGAAAGTCCATGAGATTCTAATCTCCTGTTAAGCAGCAAAAGGCTGGCAATGGAGCTGTAGCTCCACTGGAGTGCAACACCAGCCTTGAGTGAAAAAGCTAAGGATAGCTCTCAGGCCCTGAGTTCAAGCCCTACTAGCACACACACACACACACACACACACACACACACACACAATGAATCCAGAGCAGAAGCACTATATTAGTTACTTGCTATCATGTCCTACCAGATTACACTAACATTCCCTATCCTATAAACAAAAGTGAATCATTAAGCTTTGGCTAGAGGCTTTGCAATAAACCTATGCTAAAGGCAACCTGTCTCTTTGTCTATTCTCCAAACTGTGTGTGTGAGTCTACCAAGAGCATCTGCCCAGATCTGGGTAGAAGGGTCTGGGTCCATGTCTTGGGCCTGAGTTCCTTAGACTGGAGACCTTGAGTGCACATCAGACCTGGTGGCTGGAGAATCGTTAGCCATGTTGTGCCAGAGGAAATGAGCCCTCCAGGAATGGCACCAAGAAGGAACGCCTGTGGTCACAGTTGTAGGTTCTCAACAGTATTATTCACCAGATGGAAGAATCAACGGTGGTTCTCACAGGCAGTAAAGACCATCTGAGGTTGAGCCTGGCACCACGTCTTCTGCGAAGCCAGGCTGGGCCGCAGCTCCTGGCCCCTGCTGTCTCACTGCATCCTAGAAGGATTCTACACATTTCACAAACTCCCAGTTACTGGCCTCACTCCCAGATTACCACAGTCCCAGGGAGCCCTGTCTCCTCACAGTGCTGCAACCATCAAGTTCCCCCTAAATGCTTTTCAGGTGGACAAATGACTTCCCTTGATCTCAGACACCTGGGTAGCCAAGACCAGAAGTGCGTGAATAGGGAAATGGGTCCAAAAGAAAAGCCACAGTGACAACTATGTTTAAATGGATAGCCATTCCTAAATAGGAAGAGGTCCATACAGACTCTAAAGCTATGACTGTGAGGGATGATGGGACTTGAAAGTGGACTCGGTAATCTATGAGCAATGAATTCAATGGGGGATTTCAAAATGAGCACAGTCATAGCTCCCTGTCTCTGCTAAAGTGCCTCCATGGGAAGTGGGGGCATTGTCCATCTGTGGGATCCTGAGCCTGCTTCTCGGCAGACCAGCCCTGAATTTCTCCATTATAACCTTCACTTCAGTGATAGCTCCTAGTATCTCAAGGGCTGCAGAAGCCACACAGCACCTCTGGAGGAGGGCAAAGGGAAAGTAGGAGAAGGGAAGGGCTCACACTCAGAGGTCTGACCACTGACTTCCTGTGACCACTGCCCCATCAGTGCCCCTCTCTCACAGGAACAACCTTGCCCAGCCTCTCCTATGTCCCGGCCTACTTCCTATCAGGTCCAGACTCTTGACTGGGAAAGGTCTAGGTGAATTGTTCCTGCTGGTGAGTTACAGTGTGCTACACAGAGGTAAATAACCCATCCTGTGAGACAGCCAGCTGCTAGACCGACTTCCTGATTGGCTGACCACAGTGGTCTATGGGGTCCTGCTTCTCCCATTCCAGATCCTCTCCCACTCCAGATCCAGCATGAGACTTTGCCAGGGGCCTGTGGAAGAGAAGGCAACAGGGTGAGGTCTGCCACATTGTGCAGAGCAGAGTTTGAGCTTGGGGAAGGGAAGGAGGAATGGGCAGGTAGAGATGACCAATGATAGTGTGAACATTGTGCTACAAAAATGGTGGTGATCATATAGCTCAGCAAGGGTCAGAGATGCCTGAGGACACAGAGGATTGAGGCCCATATGAAAACATCTAGGGTGCACTGACATGTTCTGGACCGAGTCAGGAATTCTAGACATTTCCTTCCTCTGTGTGTTGCTGCAGCTGTAGCTATAACTGCTACTGAATCTAATGTAATTGTCATTCAGACTGAGCTGATCAGAGCTGTGTGACTTTCCTTACTGCACTATTTCTTCTTGGCATTTTTGACACCTCAGTGTCGTGAATCTGCATCTGGGCAAACCTCTCTGGCTACTTCAAAGGGTGAGGCATCCCCTGCCTGGTTACTTCCCAGATAGTGGCCAACCTGTTTGCCTGTGTGAAGATGAACTCAATCCCTGGTTCACTGCCTGCGGGCCAAGAGTGAAGAGGAAATGCTGGCTATTACCAACGTCAGGCTGAATGGAAGGAGGGTGGAAATCTGCCCACTGCTCCCTGAGGGAAAAAGGATGTGAATCGCCTAGTCCTAATACTCTGAACCAGTGACTGTTCTTGTAGTCCTGGATAGAAAATGAAGAGTAAGGGAGGCTAACCCAAGTGTTGGATGTCTTTGGATGTGTATGGGAGACAATTCTTGGAAGAACTGGAATGGGATGAAAGTAACATGAGGGCCAAGAGAAAATATGTGATATGTGATCCCAAATCCTGTTCATGGATGCCTCCTCAGACTTTCAAGGTCATCCCTGGAGGGGTAGATAAGGTCTTCCTACCCAGGGATCCAAACAAGCTGCTGTCCTCTGCTGACTTCCACCATGGCCCAAGCATCACTGATGAGAATGGTTGGATCATTCCCATGGTGAGACTTACTTCTAACTCATTAGTATTCTGGGGAGCTCATCTGTTATGTGGGTGAGTGGTAAGGAGTGCATGGTGGAACAGGACATAATACCTTCATGACCAGGACATTCCAAATTTAAACTGTCTCCCCATCACTCAGATATGGGGACTTCTTGCACCATAAAGGGAATAAATAGAAAGAACTTGCCAGTTGTTATACCGAACATGTAGGACTCATGGTAAAGATCTGGACACCTGCCCCAATGGATGGGTAACCCCAAGATATTTCTTCACACAGTAACCTTCAGGAATACAGCGTGGAATATGTGTGTTTGTGGCAGGGTTACACCAGAGCTTGGCTCTTTCACCCTTATACTATGTCCCATCCCAAGTCCCATCCCCCCACCCAGAGGCTGCCTCCTCCCTGTCACTGCATTGCCTGCCTAGCCTGACTCTCTCTGATCCTTTTGGCATAGAACTTGTGCCGAGTGTGCTCACCTGCTGATAGAACAGTACATGAGGGACACCAAGGACCCCCAGACCCTCCAAACCCAGCTTCAAGACATGATGGGGGATTTTATGTTTGTGATGCCTGCACTGCAAGTAGCACATTTTCAGTGTGAGTACATCTGTAGCTGAGATCTGACTAATCAAAAGGCAGCTTAGAACCTTGCATCCCAGGGAAATTCTGTGATGTCCAAGTCCCCACCCTTATCTCTCTCAAGACCCCAGTACCAGGCACTTGATGTCACACAGGTCAGTAAGTCCTCAAGGCTACTGTAAGACACAGGCATCATTGGCACCTTAAAGAAGTGGAAGCTTAGATAGTCAGTGACTAGTAAAAGACCACATAGCTGGGAAATCCAAGCCTTGATTTAACAAAATCTTTTCCCATTGGGGTCACCAGGAAGATGGCAGTCACATGCAATTCTTGGCCTCAAAGCTCATCCTAGAAGTCAGAGGATGACTTGATGACCACCTTCATTCTTTGCAAGGCCTCTTCGTGCTTGAGGCTTCTCACTTCACAGTCCAGGTTCCAGCCAGATTCAACATAGTGATCTTATCACCCAACTTGAGGAAGGACAACTCCAATCGAGAGGTCACCTGTCCTACTTTGTCTAAACCCCCAGGTTCCCATGTCCCTGTCTACTTCTATGAGTTCCAACATCCTCACGGCCTCTTCAAGGACCTCAAGCCCCTGCATGTGAGGGCTGGCCATGCTAATGAGGTTGACTATGTCTTCAGGTTTTCCTTGTATGACAGCAACCATGAGTCTTCTTCATTTCTGTAACCTAGAATGGGCCACACTAGGATCCCTGTAGGTAGATTCTCCTCATGGTCTACATAGGACACTGGAGCTCAAAGAGAGGACACAATCAAGTGTGCAAAATCTTACCACCCAAAAAGCTGCAGGTGTTTACATTCCAAGCCTTTTCCAAAGCAGCCTGTGCTCCCAACATCTGTCCCCACCTGCAATGAGGTGTCAGACATGGGTACAGAGTGGAGGATTTGAAGGTATGAAGGTCCTAAGTTATCCCCAGGGACTGAGGTTAGAAAAGTCCTCTAGTCCAGGAATACATACTGGTGCATTCAGCTAGAGGCTGGGATGAGTAATGGAAGGTCGTACAATGAGAGCGTCTCATCCTGGGTGGTACAGGAGAAAAGGATCAGGCCTGATATGGAAGACCAGACTACAGTTGAATGGAGGGTGTAGAGCAGATGTAGGCACCCTGAAATTGGCCAAGAAATGGACCTTTGTTCTCTGTGCAGCTGACTTTTCTGAGGAGCTACTGAGAAGAAGGAAAATGAAGTACTGGGCCAACTTTGCCCAGAATGGGTGAAATAATACACCTAACCCTGCCTCCCACAAATGGAGTCCACTTAGTGATCCCCTTGCGGCATCCTCATGAGCATGCATGATCTTAGTTATGCGATAGCTCTCCCTCAAACCCCAGAACTCATTTACACAGGGACAGGTCATTGTAGGTGCAAGTCACTCTCTCTTCCCCCAGAGATCTGAGAGGTGGAGCAGTTTTGTGGAAACATCAACACTCACCTCTGAGAGGTGGCTTTTAGCCTTGTAGAACAGACACTAGAGGGAGGGCCTTAATTTTCTATATCAGAAAAGTTTTCCTCATTCTCCCCACTCCTGATCTTTTGGGCTGCCTGGCATGACTCTAATGAGGTGATTGGGTGCAGTCTCACAGGGACTCAGACTGACCCTCATCCCCCCACACACACCCTGCCTCCTGGGAGCATGTGTCCACAGGAACCCCAACAGTGAGGATCTGCTCCACTGGCCCATGTTTGACCTACAGCTGGACATCCATCCTGCCATGGGCCAGGCCCTGAAGCCCTAGACCAAGACCCTGCCCCAAAAGATCCAGGAGCTCAAGGGTAGGGGTGAGGAGAAGCAAGTAGAGCTGCAGTGGTCTATGTCAGGAGAAGTAGGCTCGAGTGCAGGTAGGGTCAGCAGGAGGTGCCCACCCATTTACCACCAAATAGGAATTGACCACAACATTCACTTAGCCATTCATTCCCTGTTTATCCAGCCAGCCACCCAACCAGCCAATCCTTATGAACAACTGCCTGCATGATGTTCATGACCCACTTGCCTGAACACTCTCTTGTTAGACACGCTCAATAAATTCCCCCATTGCAATGAAACTATCACTCCAGTGGTGCGTACTGTCCTCCATACCCGCACTGAGCCCGGGCCCTTCCTTTCTTGCTCATCTCGTCTCCCCCATTTCTGTCTGCTCCAAGCCACCAGCCCCTCTTCAAATGAAGAAGATACACTGAACCTGTTACCCCTACAGGGGTCAAATTCCCATGTTGTCCCTTCAGCAAGCCTTATTTTTTTTAACTTCTAAGTAGCCAACAATTTAATTTCTAAGTGTCTCTAAGACAAACGTACTCACACATGCACACAACTGTCCAAAGAGCTTTGTTATGGATTAATTTATATGCAATTAAATTCACCCACATCCATTGCCATAGCATACGCTAAAATGTTTCTTTCCTCTAAAGAAATCCCTTCACACTCACTACAGTTAATTACTTCATTTTACTCAGCTTTTTGCAACTACCTCATTGTGTTTGCTTGTTTTTTATTCCAGCACTGGGACTTGAACTCAGGGCTTTGCCTTCTCACTTGGCTTTTTCTATTCAATGCTGGATCTCTGTCAGCTGAGGCAAACTCCACTTCTGGCTCTCTGCTGGTTAACTGAACATAAGGGTCTCACAAACTTTTCTACCTGTGCTGGCTTTGAACCTTGATCTTCAGATCTCAACATCCTGAATTGCTAGGCAAGAGCCACTACTTCCTGGCCCAATTGGTTTTAGTTGCTATAGAGTTGTATATAATTTAGAAAAAATAATGGCCCAATCTAGCATATCATATTAAGTAAATTACCTGTGGTTGTAACCACTACAATTAAGGCCCTGAGAATCAAGTACACTTCCTTTCTTTTATTGAGGAGTGCCTTCTATAAAGACATACACCATTTTTTATCCACATGCAGCTGGATGCACATCTGAGTGTGACACATTTTTTGCTATTATTAACCATGTTTTAGGACACTTTGAACCTAACTTTATGTAAACACATGCTTTCATTTCTATTGGATTCTATTCTGGGGTTTTTGTTGCTTAATTGGAGATAAAAGTGCCACTGAATTTCCTCCCTGGCTGCCTTCAGACCCAGGCCCTCTTTCTCTGCTTCCTGAGAAGCTAGGCTTACAGGTGGGAGACACAGTCACCTGGCTTGTTTCTCCGATGCTTTCTCTCTGTCCCTCTCTGTCTCACTGTGTCTGTGTCTGTCTGTCTATCTGAGTCTGCCTCTCTCACTCTTTCTTTCTCTCCATCTTCCCCGTCCTCTTTCTTTCTGTTTCTATCCTGGCTCTGTCTCTTCATCTTTGTCCAGATCACTAAGTATATGTAAGTTTTCATCAACATCCTCAAACATACAGAAATGCTTCTAAAACCCTTTCATTCCATGTTTTTATTATTAGCCTGGTTACTGTGGATGCCAGGGTCTCTGAATGGTGGTGCAGGAAGGGATGGGCCACATGGGCACCTTCAGCCTTTCAGTGGTGCACCACAGCCACAGTATTAAGAAGAAGTATGGTGATCTTCAGTGAAAATAAAAGAACTTGTTACTCACCCCTGAACATCAAGGACCTAGCTTCTGAGCCCCCCAGCCCAACTGCTGATTAGGTTAGGGAATGAGGCTCAGAAAGAGCTCTTAATTCTGAGTAGCCAAATGTCCTTATCCTGAGGTTCCAGACCAGTGCCCGGATTTACAAACACTCCAGCCTCACCTTCGCCCCTTGTCCAGCTGTCTCCCATTTGGCTGGCATCAGAACAGGACATTGAACTGTCACCTCTGTTTCATTCCCTCCCTTCTTCAGCTGTGCCCAGTTTGCATAATATCTGTAGCTCACTATTAGTTACTTCTGATCAACCTCCACCAGAATGCGTGGGTTAAGCCATGTGCTGGTGGCCTGAACCTAACTCTCAAGAGACCAAGATCTGAGGATTGCAGTTTGAAACCAGCCTGGATAGGAAAGTCGATGAGATTCTTATCTACTGTTAAGCAGGAAAAATGCCAGCAATGGAGCTTCAACACTAGCCTTGAGTGAAAAAGCTGAGGGATAGCCCTGAATTCAGACCCTACTACCAACACACACACACACACAGAATCCAGGGGCAGAAGCACCACATTAGTTACTTTGTTAACAGCCCCTTCAGCATTGCACTAGCATTCCCATGAACCCACCACAAAAACCCTAGCCTGTAAGCAGGAGTGAATCATTAAGCTTTGGCTGAAGGCTCTGCAATAAACCTGTGCTGATGATGACCCATCTCTGTTTGCGAATCTGAGAGAAATTGCCAAAGAAGGGCCTGGGACCATGTCCTGGGCCAAGTTCCTTAGATTGGAGACCTTAAGTACACAGCAGACCTCATGACAGGAATGGAGAAGGTCGTAGAATCTTTAGCCATGTCATGCAAGGGGAATGCAGGAATGGCACCAAAAGAAAAGCCTGTGGTGCCAGGCTGTAGGTTCTCGACAGTACTGTGTACCAGATAGAAGACTTAAAGCTAGTTCTCACAGGCAGTCAAGACCGTGTAAGCCTGAGCCTGGCACCACGTCCTCGGGGAAGTCAGGCTGGGCTGCAGCTCCTGGCCCCTGCTCTCTCACTTCATCTTAGCAGGATTCTATGTGTTTCACAAGCTCCCAATTACTGAGCTGACCCCCAGATTACCAGAGGCCCAGAGAGCCCTGCCTCCTCACAGTGTTGCAACCAGCAAGTTTCCCTTAAATGTTTTTCAAGTGGGTAAATGACTGCCCTTGATCTGACATGTCAGGATAGCCACAGATGGGGGAATTTAGGAATAGGCCCTTAAATGCCACAGTGACAAGTATGTTTGAATGGACAGCCATTCGTAAATAGGAAGGGGTCCATGCAGACCCTCAGACTATGACTTTAAGGGATGAGGAACCTTGAGGAGGAATTGGTAATCTATGAACAATGAAATCAAAGGAGGAATTTCCAAATGAACAAGTCATAGCTCCCTGTGTCTGCAAGTGCTCAAATGCTCCATTGTCCATGGACGGGATCCTGAGCCTGCTTCTCTGCAGACCAGCCCCGAAATTTCTCCATTACAACCTTCACCTCAATGACAGTTCCCAGTATCTCAAGGCTGCAGAAGCCTTTCAGATCCTCTGGAAGAGGGCAAAGGGAAAGTAGGAGAAGGAAAGGGCTCACACACAGACTTCCTGTGACCACTGCCCTGTCAGTGCCACTTTCCCATAGAAACTACTTTCCCTGGCACCCACTCCCAGGTCTCCTTCCCCCAGTCCCAGGTGTCTGGGCAAAGTCTAGGTAAACTGTGCCTGTGGGTGAGTTGCAGTGTGCCACATAAATGCACAGAAACAGTCCTGTGAGCCAGCCATGGCGCTAGACCGAATTCCTGCCTGGATGACCACAGTAATCTGTGGGCTCCTACTTCTCCCACTCCAGATCCAGGGTAAGACTCTTGCAGAGGGCTTGGGGGGCGCGGGCAGGGACCTGGGTAAGATCTGCCATATTGTGTAGAGCAGAGTTTGAGGTTCGGAAAGGAAGGGAGGAAGGAGCAGGTCAAGATGACAAATGATATTGTGGGAAAATTGTTCTCCTTAATCATCCACAAAATGCCCACAGTTCAGAGGGGCTCATAGATGCCTGAGGAGACAGAGGAGTGAATCCAATATGAAAGAGTCTTAGGTGCACTGACATACGTCAGGCAATGTCAGGGATTCTAGACATTTCCCTCCTCTGTGTGTTTTGGCAGCTGTAGTTGTAACTGCTCTTGCATTTGCTCTTGTAATTGTCATTCACATTATCCTCTGTTTCTGAGTGGGTCCCCTTCATCACCAGAAAAGCATCTTGGCATGGCCTAATAGGCCCTGGCATAGATTTCTGGTCCTGGAAGATCTATAACTCCCTAGACAGACATCATCAAGTTGAAATGAGATGCCCCTGGGTTTCTATCACCTAGGTATCAACTCTGGACAAAGGCTTGGCTTAGCTTCCAGGGCAAAGAGGATCTTCCCTGTGCCTGCTTCACAGTCCCCATGTCCTTATCAATAACTCATGCCAACAGAGAATTATATCCAGAAATGTATTACGAACTTTGATTCCCCTCACCTCAGACCAAGCTGGGACAGGCCCTGATGAACTCCCCTACGCTCTCCTATTTAATCTGACCTAAGGAGTTCCCCCTCAGCTCACCCATGGCCCACTCCTACCAGATTCCCTCCCTTACCTGCTCTTGATCAGGATCTGGCTAGTGATTCTAAGATAGTGAGTACAAGATAACAATGGTTTATAACAGGAGGAGTTGGTTGTGCAAATCTTGCTATCCGGAAGACCCAGGGTTTTAAATCTCCTAACTTAAGGGTCATTTTTTTGCCACTTCATGGCTCAGCTTCCTCATAACATTTCATGAGGGGCTTGAAGCAACATGCAGGTAGCTGGTTTCTAACAGGAACCTTTGAGCAATGTTTATCCTTTCCTGTAACAACTATGAAGCATGAGTGGGCACTGTGAGGTCCAGGGTCAGAGTTCTCATCTAGCCAAAATCTCTTGCGTAGATAACATGAAGGTCATTGCTATGACTTTGGACTTTGGAAGATATTGGGAAACTGCTGTCTATGATGTCTATTTGTGGTTGCTATCATGGCTTCAACCATGAAACTCTGTGATTCACAATAGCTCCTGGAGAGTGCTTAGGGGCAGGAGAGTTACTTTTCTTATACAACAGGTCAGATTTGTGAACTTCTGGGACCTGAAGGGGGGGGGGGGGGGGGAGAAGA